CCACACACACACACACACAGGAAAATTAATCCTATTACTCTAATAACTCAGAAAAGAAGTTTTTGATCTCTGCTCCACTGAAAGATCTTGGCTGCAAAGGGGACAAATGGCTGCACAAGGGTGACAATGCCCCTGACTGGACCCTGGAAGGCAACACAAAGACTAGCAATAACTCTTCGTTGTAGGATCCCTGGTGCATACTCTAATACACAACATAAAAATGTGTCAAGAAGGTGAGTAATGAGTGCCAGTCTGAACTGCCTGACAAAGACAGAGCCACTGGAGTTTGGGGAAATTCATGAAAAGATGGGAACGATAGATATCAGATTGTTGTTTTCAGAGAAATTCAAGTATTCATATGACTCTTGCAAAAACTGAGCTTGCCATAAAACAAGCTGCAAGTCTGTAAATGAGGAAAATTTGGCAATTTTCTCCATATAATAAACACTGAGGCCTGTAAAGCCAAAATATCTTCATTTGAATACCCAGTATTGCACATGGTTACCTTTCCACCCTTTATAGTTATGCCTTCAAAAATCAGATAAAATGGGATTATGAGTTACTACTGATTTCAGGACAAAGATGTCAATACAGTTATTCTATTCTAGGACTGCTATCTAGTGGACAAGATTTTTCTGGTTGAATTTTTTTTTTCTTTTTTTTTTTCCAGCACTATCTTATTACTCAGGTGATTTAAAATGTATCATTACAATATCATCCCTAAGATGATCTTCCAATTTTCATGTTTGCACATAAAAATGAAAAAAATATATCATTAGTACGATTTTAAGGAAAAATTAGTTTTATCAAAGAAAGGAACCTTTCAAAACTGATAAGGTGGAGTTCTAGAATGGTTGAGGTAGGCAGGGACCTCTGGATCCATGTGGTCCAACCCCTGCTCAAATAGAAACACCAAGAGACAAGTGCCCATGCAGCTTTTTAAGATCTCCAAGGAGAATGCATAGCCTCTAGTCAGTCTGTACTTCCGCTGTTACCCACAAGGTAAAGTGTTGCCTGATGTTCAGATAAAGCCTCCTTTGTTCCAGACTGTGTCCATTTCCTGTTGTCCTGTCATTGGGCACCACTTAAATAAACCTGGCCTCATCCCCTTTGCATGTTCCCTTTAGGTATTTATACACATTAATAAGATCCCTGAGTCTCCTCCAGGCTGAAGAGTCTTACTGAAAATAATGCCAGTGATTTTGCCTGCAGGAATGATGCTGACATATCTTTTTTTTTTTCCAGTTAGTATAACAGAAACTACCAACCTGAATCTGCATTCTAAAATGAACTTAGGGTAGCTACTAAACAAAAACAGCTTTAATGCTGTTTTTAGAGTAGAAATACATCTTGACAATAAAAGGAACATTCAGAATTTTCTATCTCTCCTTCTCATATTTATCTCCAAAATGTAATTTCAGAAATGTACATGGAACTGCCACAAAAAAATGTAACATACCACAAAACAGAGATACCCAGTACTACCTAAATAAGAATCATGTGCCAAAGAATTAACTGCACTACAGTGCAAAATATGGCAGAAATATGTAGTGTTTATCACAAAGAAAGTGTTCCAGTTCAGCAGCAATTAGGTCAGACAAGCAGAATTCTGTCTATGGATAATCAGAAAGATGAAGAGTATAACAGTACCTGTGCAAGGGCATCTGCATAATTTGGAAGTATGAAAAAACAAATTTGGCTAGTTTCCTCAGATGGTTATATTCCATATAAATGAGACAATGGAGAAGTCTTCCAATAAATACTGTAGCATACATTCAGCAAACTGCTTACTATCGAGGTATTTCCAGATTTGAATTCAAAATAATAATAATTCAAAATTATTCCCATCAGTATAAAATTTTGAAACCACTTTCTTCACTCTATTAAAATAGCTAAAATACAACTTTCAATGATTTTGAGGCTGCCACTTCTTTCAAGGCTGTTGTTCTCCAAAAAGGAAAGGTTGAGTTCTTTTAGTTTTGTTTTACAATCTCGATAAATAAAATATATTAGGCTAGACATTTTCCACAATGTAAGTGGATTACGAACATGCATGTGCTTGCTTCTTCTTAATTAGCTTCTCCTTTCATATCTGACTTCATTAGCATAAAATTAGCACACACACAAAAAAAAAAGATTTGAAATACTGCTAAGACACATTCATGCAATTAGGAATCCTCTTTTTGGGACTGAAGGTTTATTAAACAATAGAACTGAACTAAATGCCAAATGATGACACTTTTCCCATTTCGCTTGGGGAATTATGAAACAGGAGATCTGGCAAAAGAAAGGACTCTGTTGCAACACACATATGATATTTTTTTGGAAGATTTTGTTTGCAATTTTTCATAGCCTCACATAACAGATGAATTTTCTATTTTTTCTACTACTTATATCAAATTAAAGTTGCTCAGCAAGTCATCACTTAGGCAGGAATCATCTCAGTAAAAGCTCTTGTATTGAAAAACTAACCATTTTTTAGTTCTATAAACAGAAGACAGAATAATAGCAACAGAATAATAACATTAACATAACATAAATAATAGTATTAACTGCAACCTTTTTCCCTTTCTGAAGAACAGGTAGTTCAGAAGTGATGCAAAGCCAAAAAAAAAAAAAAAAAAAAAAATCCTATCTCAGCTCAAGTTAAATTAAATTAAAAGCTGCTATGTTTAGTTCCACAAAAACTAGGAGGAATATCATTGCTAAAAGGAGAACTGATTAAAATGAAATAAAGTTATTATACATGATGCGACAGGAATCAAGAAAACTATCCCCACATTCTTGCACTAAAGCAATTTTTTTTTATTTTTACTTTTTTTTTGTGAAGAAAATAGGCAATGTGAAGTGGGGACTACAAAGCATCATTTCACAAAAATGATGATTTTCAAATGCTTCCAAAAATAACCTATTATGAACATAATCTTGGCCAAAAGAAGCTCTGCTATCTTTGTAGAGTATGTTTTGCCAAGTTTAAAGGCATTGGTGTAAGTAAGACAATCAAATTCTGAGTAGTTAAGGTTAACTGCAGCCAGTCATAAGCACAATTATCATTACTGCTGCCTACTTCCATTGGTCAGTAGAGACTATTTTCATCATTAAAAGAAAAACAAAGCAGACTTTCCCTTGCTCCCAGCTTCACCTCTATGTACAGTCTTATTGAAAACACAGCACAAAAACACAGGATTATGATCTTACCTCAATTTTTTCCCATATGGTTTCATAATTCTCTTGATGTTGTATATCTTGCATAAGTTGACGAATTAAAGCTGATTTATTTGAGGCAGAAGTTTCATTCTCAGTGCGCTGAGTGGCAGCTGTCCTTTCCAACTTTCCTTCAGTATATTTTTTAATGCCAGACACAGGCATAGAAAGATCTTCATCAGAGAGAATATCACTGAGAGGCCCAGATTCAATACTGTCACCCAAGGAAGATACTATATCACTTGAAGAACTTGGTGAAATTCTACCCATTTTTTTGTGTTTTTTTACCTGGTATGTAGGATACATTTCTGAATCTGAGTTCATTTCTGACAACTCCCAGTCATCAATATTTTGAATAGCTTCTCTTCTGGGCCTTTGAGGCAGCAGCTTTGTCAAATTTTCTAGTTTTAAAGCTAACACTTCAGTCTGTTTGAGATGTGAAGGAAGTGCTAAATATTCATCAGAACCATACCAGATCTCACCATCTTTACTGTGTTTATGATTATAACTTGGTGATGAGGATAAACTTTTATTTTTCTTTCTTCTCGGTAAAAGAGGTGATGAGTTGATATGTTCAGAACTAGCTGAGGAAGCATTCTTTTGGCTACATGGTGAACTAAAAGGCTCAGTTTTACCTTGTGATTGTCCATTTAGGTCTCCCTGATTACAAGCATCTGATGATGCAGAAAAAGAATCAATTTCTGCGCCCTCTAGACACTGAGAGTTATGAGAAGTAATTCCATTTTGTAGAGAATGTTCTCTTTTTTTTACTTCTATTGGTGGAGCTGTTTTACACGTACGTACAGACGTTCTGCCAGCTTTCACTTTCTGTGGAGTGTCATGAGACTTCTTGTGCTTTGATTTTTCTTTACAGGTATAGTAAGCAGGTTTTCCTAGACTCACAGGACTGTTCTTAAAGTGATTATTTATTGTGTACTCAAGATTACTATCGCCTATTTTATTTAAGCAATCATAAGACTGACTAACAGCAGATGGACTACTATAGGTTGACTGTAAAGCCAGGCAAAGTTTGGACCTGTCTGGTGGATCTAACAGTGAGGGTGTACTTCTACTCATTTCATTCTTTACTATCTGAGAGATTTGCCTTTTAAAGTCATTGGTTTCCATGTAGTCTTTAAATACATCATCTTTCAGAAACAGACCTCTTTTTGGCAAAGTAGGCTGTGTGGGGGAATCTTCATTATAGTTAAAGCAGTCTCTTATGGATCTCTTAGAATTTGAGTTTTCACAGTGAGGGTGTTTGATTTTTTCATCACTGAGTTGTGAAAGATTGTATTCTGGTTTCTTCTGTGCAGAAACTGTTTTGTTCTCAGTTGATGAGATGCCATCTTCAGAGCAAGGTCCTTCAGTAACAGGAGAATTAGCAGGAGAATGTGAAAGCTCAAGTGGTCCTTTCCTGTCCTTGCTTTCATCTCCATCTTCTGATGCAAGAGGTAAATGTGTTTTCTCATTTAATGCTTCATTACTCTGAGGAGCAATGGAATCTGTTGCTACTGCAAGTAAACCCACACTTCTGATAAGTCCTGGAAAGTCCTTATCCATCTCACTGTAATTCCAGGATTCAAATGATTTTGCTTTACCTTGGCTGGAGGTCATGTCGTCTAGAGCACCAAGCAAATCTTCACTTGGACTGTAGTCAGATAGTTCAAATGCAGTAATACCACAATCCAATGACAAGTAATTTTGAGAACATTTGATGGTTAGCTGTCCAGAATCATCAACTTCAGTTAAAGAGTCAAGTCGATCCTGAAATAGAGGAAGAAATGGCACCTTTTAGAAGTTTAATTTCATATGTTACACACAAGATAATGAAATATCAGCTTCATGCTTCACTGCCTAACATATAGTAAAGTATTAATCACTGAACAAGAAAGAAACTGGAAAGTTGATCTGAGAAAAATAAAACAAAACTTTTGGTCAAGTGGTTACAACAACTATTTAAAAACATCACAAAGGGGAGAAATTCATGTTTTAGGATTCTAATTCTAGGTGGCTAAATCTGTATGCTGGTCTTTTTTGCCTGGTTTGGTCTACAAAATAGATATCTTTAAGGCAAAGTTTTACCTAGAGAAGGTGCAGTTAGTGCAGTTACCCCTACAATCTCACAATAAGCCACTTGGACTATGGTCTGAACCAGAAGAGTCTCAATAAAGAAGGCTATTGTTTGCAATCCTCTATAAACATAATGTTTGATCTCTGTACTTACACCCACAAAAACTTATATTAATCGTAGTAACATACAAAAAATTCCTCTTACTAAAAATGTTGTTTGTGGAAAACATACATTACAAAAATATTTATCAACTGAAATCTTGGACTTTGCAGTGTTTTTGATATTTTTTATTTAGGAAGTTATATCCAGATGTAGAACCTATGCCACACACTATGCATTGTCAATAATCCAGAATTAAAAAGGGAAGTTTCTATTAAACTGTTGAATTTCTGTTCTGGAGTTGCATTTATTAAGGAAAATAATGATTAAACAAGGATTAGTATTACAGCTGCATTTTTCCTCTAATTTCTGGAAAATATTAGAAGCTGTAAAGCCATATATAAATCAAACCCCTTCCCAAAGGCAAAAGAGGCCTTCATTTCTCCTGAGTAATGAGCTCCATTCCTTCAACTTTTAAAAAAAGTGTTTATGAATCTTAATAAAATCTCAATAAAGTTTTAATAAAATTTACAATCACGTTCATTAGACCATTTAGCTTGGTCATTTCCCAGGCAGCCATTTAAACATGTGGTTCAGATGAGCATTATTTAATGCCAGTATTACCATAGTTTTATTATTGTTTTTATTCAGGAAAATATTCACACATCTACCAAGAAGAATAACTTACTTCAAAAAATCTGTTTCCACACAGTAATATTTCCTGTAAAACACTGTAGGCTATATTTCCAAAACCATCTTGTATTTATATTTGATCCAGTACAATTCTGCAGTTTTTTTTACTCTTTCAAATAAGTTAAATTAATTAGCAAGGTTTTCCTACTGTGAATTTTCCAACTGTTTGAGACCATTCAAATTCACTGTATATTATCATGGACTTATACTGGCCCTTTTCATACTTCCTATTCTTATCAATTTCGAAATACAACTATTACAATTAGCTCCAGCTAGGAAGAACTCAGGCTGCATTGAAGTGATTTTTCTTTCTTCTTAGCTATCCCTGGGTAGTTCCTAAAGGGGAAAACGTCCTTTAAAATATTAATATTCTAAAGTTCTTATTTAAAAAACTATTTTCTCAATTTGGCATCTCCATCATAGCAGCTTGCCCCATTGATTTTTATTCTATTTCCATTATTCCTCAAAGCATGAACTCTCATGAATCTCTTCTGGCTGGCACCTAGATAGCCAAAAGTACAGTTATTGTCTTCCCAGATAATTAGTTGTGTTCCTAAGCAAGTCAATACAGACTGTGCTGTATGCTTTCTAAAATACTATAAATAGAGCCCAGAAGGACTGTTCCCTGCTCAGAAAATTGTCTGAACACTATCAGAGTTGCAGGAGCAGTGATGCAATTTACCGAGATTCAATTGTCTCATAGAGCACAAAAGAAAACTTGGTACATCAATTCCATGGAGTTCCTCAGTTAACACTGGCAGCCTGAGCTGCCAGTCTTAAGGCTGACTTAAGGATCAAGCCAAACATTTGGTGAAATGACAGGTTCACGGACTACAGAAAACATTTGATCTGCTGGCTCAGATTAAGTTTCCATCTAGACTAGTAGATTGTGCCTGCAATTACTTCTAAATACTTTCTGCCACTTTCTGCCAGCTAAGCTACAGGATGTGGGTATATATATACACACACACATATATATGTGTGTGCATGACCCCTAAACACAAAATATAAAAAAATAAACCTTATAAACTATAAAAAATTAACTTTAATTCCTTGTTCATATTCCTCAAGAACTCAATTAAGAAAATGTTTCTGTAAGGAAGGGTTATCTGCTTGTGTCAAGTTTTCTTGGTTTGCCCGAGCAGTTTCACTATCCACATACACACAAAAACACCTAGAAGATATACTCCTTATACTGTGAGTCATTTTGTAGTCACACAACACAGACCTGTCTGGGAAAGAGTCCAGGGGTGTAGGTGAGACCAGATACGATTTTCTCTATGTTATTTTTTATTCTCTCTTATTTATTTTCTTCACTCAAATAAAGCCACTATCACATTATATTCGATTAAAAGCTTGAATAAATATATTTAAAAAAATATTAAAATGTACAGAGCAATTTCTGGGAATCTATTTAAGCATTAGAACAGGAACTTAATATTGATATTTTTTTCCTTCTACTGCCAACCATTAATTTTATCAAATGCTGTTTATGCTTTACCTGAGAGAAATTAAAGAATTGTGATAGGATATACTGCTTTTTATTATTATTATTATTATCAAGCAAGCCAATACGGGGAAAAAAAAAAAAGAAAATCCCACTGGAAAATAATCCATCCCTCTCCAGTCAGTCCTCCCTTTTTCGGAAGGACAATTTTTATAGGAGTTGTATTGAGAGCCATGTGGGACATTTTCTGTTTCTTAGTATCTGAATCAGCTCTTTTCTTAGGTCTTGAAATCACCACACTTGAGCCAAAAAAAATCAATATTTCACCCTCAGTCATTACTCTGGATTTTCAAACAAGCATCAGTTTCACTTGCCAGAGATTTACCATCAACAGCAAAGGAGAAACTAAATCTGAAGCATCAGATGCACATATATCAGGAAGAGGGGGTGTGGAAGGTGGGCCTGGACATGTCTGAATATTGATTTCAGGGCCACCCACTTTGTTGTACCAAAGACATAAAAATTCAAAAGGGAGCAGAAAGGTATGCACATTCTCTTTAAACTTCAGAGATCTGAAATTAAGGACATCTTTACGGGGCTTTTGACTTCCTCTGCAACATAGGTCACAGAATCCAGACAGTGATGCCCCCCAGCGATCAATATTGAGTACAGTCTTATAAATCTCAATTGTCGGTTACCTGGATAAAGGGACAGAGCGCACCCTCGGCAAGTTTGCTGCTCAGATGAAACTAGGTTTTGCTGATATTTTTCAGAATGCTGTGCTGACTTTCAGAGAAATCTGAGCAGCTGGAGAGTTGGGTGAAGAAGAATCTCATGAAGTTCAACAAAGGCAATTTCAGGGTCCTGCACCAGTACAGCTTTGGGGCTGACCTACTGGAAAGTATCTCTGTAGAAAAGGAACGTATGGGTCCAGTTGGACACCAAGTCGATCATGAGCCATCAGTGTGCCCTTGTGGCCAAGAAGGCCAGTGACATCCTGGGCTGCATTAGGAAGAGCATTACCAGCAGGTTAAGAGCACAGAGCACTGGAACAGGTTGCCCTCAGATTCTGTGGAGACTCCTTCTTTGCAGATATTCAAAATCTGCCTGGAGTTGATCTCATGCAATCTACTCTAAGTGACCTTGTTTGAGCAGCGGGAGGTTGTGGCAAGGAGGGAGTAGCCTCCTTTGCGATGTTATTAGCAAAAGGACTAGAGGGAACAGCCTCAAGTTGCACCAAGGGAGATTCAGATTGTACATTAGGAAATACTTCTTCTCTGAAAGAGTGGTTAGACAATGCAACGGTCTGATGTAGTCACCGACTCTGGAGGTGTTCAAGAAACATTTAGATGTTCTACCAAGGAACATGGTTTAGTGGGATATTTTGCTGATATATCCCTCTACTAATATGTGCTGTGGATGGTTGGACTGGATGATATTATAGCTCTTTTTCTTGGTGATTCTATGATTCATTTCAATGAAAAGGCAATTTAGCTAAATGAATCCAGATTTACAAACCATTTACATGTAAGTGAATTCAACACTGCATTAGGGGGAAAAAGGTTTCATTCATGTATAGTTGTTTCTCAGGCAAAATATGTGATTGTTTAGTGGCAAATTGCAAAATCACACTAATAATAGTCCATGTTCTCTGCTTTAAAGCAATTATGATATAACCTGGAAAGTTTGGAAAAACATTGTGCAAACTTCCTGTTTCTGTATGCAAGAAGGGCTCAAGCTTTTAACTGAAGAAATTACTGCACATAAAAATTGGGTTTTGAATTGCATGTGACCTTTACATTCAAGAGCAACTAGAAACTCCTCTGTAAATATTTCCCCCCCTTTACAAAAATTATTTCAACCAAAAGATAACTTTATTTACCACTATTATGACATTTTTGAGAGCTGGTCTTACTGGTTCTTCTCTTAGTTTGGTATGAACAGATACTAACTGAAAACACTCAAGATAGGCTCTTACGAAAGTAGCAATAAATGTCTGTATGCCAAGCTACACTTAAAATTGTCAACCTAGCAATTTGAAAAGTGCAACAGGTACAAGCTTCTTCAAATACAAATAAAATTATCAAAAATGCTCAATTTAGTTACTATACCTCCTTTGTCTCTTCAGAAAATGCTTGTAGAATATCAGTCTGTCTGGTGTAGTTTCCATTAGCGTCTTGTAGCCCCTGGAGAATGCGCTCTCTCAGAACCAGAACAGAAACACGGAGCTGGTGCCAGAGTAGTTGTACTGCATGGATATCGACTATCACATTGACAGAGTATGAGAGAAGCTTCAGAGAAAACTCAGTCTCTAGTAGAGCATGAATTTGTTCAACATGATCGGATATATCTTCACAAATATCCTGTAATGGAAAAAATAAAGTAGGTATTAAGCTACAGTCTAAGTCCATCCATGGATCAGATCTACTTGTCAACCACATTTTATTAATTGCAGATTAGCTTATTTCAGAGAGGAAAGATAACATAATGAATACATCTAAGGTTCTCTATTTATTTATTTATTTATGGCAACGCTACAACAACTGAACCAGCAGCTGTCTTGTTTGGCAGGAATGCTCAGTAAGCCCAGCGTACAGTAAGGAAAGATGGCATAACAAGATTACATGAACCAGAAGCAGAAAACTAACACTGTAAACTGACAGCCTAGAAGACAGAAATAGGAATGAAAGTGAAAATATTGCCACAATGCATATCTCTCTTTATCCTTTTAGCTTATTTCCCCTCCAGTTAAAATGTAGACTATACAATCTGTCCCATCATCAAGAAAATTCTTTTGGACAGTATTTCCCTTTAAACCAAGCCTTGATAGCCAAGTAGGGCAAAAGTCTGGAATGGCATCAATGTGGATAAGCTATTTATGAGATCCATTGCTGATTGCTGCAATAAGTTGCTAATTTTTCATAGTCTTATTGTGAAACCAAATCAAACAGAAGATGAGTGGAGGACAAGCTGCAAACAGTTGCATTGAGAAAGCAATAAAAAAAAAGTAAGTTACTAAGTTATAAAATAAAGACTTTGATGGAATTGTATCCTCCATATTTAACAATGTTCCAGATTTCTGAACTATATTGCAAACAGAGTAAGGTCTTTATGATCAGCATCTGATTTTCTTTGTGAAAGGAAAAAATTTGCTAGCACAAGACTGTAAGGAATACTTAGACAAAAACTACTGAGTGAATAATGCTGCTTTAAAGCAATCCAGCTTGAAAGCTGTGTCTAAAAAAACATGTTATAAACAAGTAAAGAAATGCAACTAAAATACTAAAAAAATAGCACCACAATCCAGTATGTGGCAGTATAAAAATACATAACGCTAATAAAAATGAGAATAAGCAACATAATTTTGATTCATTTCAAATTTGCTTTCTATCAAAACAATCCCATCAAACAATTACAATAAAAGCTTGTGTTTCTAACAATACTTGTGGTTTTTTGCATAGCAGTAGAACAACGATACTCAATAAAGCTGATTCCTCCTAAATTAACAATGTAGAACTGTAATTTTTATCTGCTCAGATTTGACAACTTTAGTCTGAAAGTGAAATTATTGAATGTATAGCTGTATGTACATAACAAATTAAACCAAAGTTAAATCTCAAGATAATATTAAGAAATACATCTAGTACAAGAGATAGAATATTAACCTTAAATAAACTGCTTTGGTTGAGTACTAGAAGCAGTAACATGTTTTTATAAAGTCCTGACAGCTAAATCAAGTCTCTTTGCAGGAGTAGCTCCCAGAAATGTCAGAGGTGAGCACAAAAACATTGGAGTTTCAATGAGCAGAGTTTAGGCCTGCCTTCAGAAGGAGGCAATCTCCCTTCCTCTCTTTCTCCTTGATCACTTGGTCATGACAACTAGCATCTATATTTTCAAGAACAAAACACGTGGCCTCACCTGGAAATGCTCAGGGCTGCATGTGTTCAGAGCTTCAAATGTTCACACACTTCTAGAAAAGTTAAGTGGCTCAAGAGTTACCAGATTACTGCACTAAACCTATTCTCCAGGCATAAAGGCACCAGCTAAAACTCTTGGTAAACCACAATAGAAACTTTACTGGGAAACACAGCTGTATTACAATGTTGTTGCAAATATTTTGAAAAATATTTTAAGCAAATTAAACTGAATTTGCATTCACTTCTCTAGTGCTGTTCACGCCTCCTTCCTTCTGGCCATAAAGTAGTTTAATTTCCATTCTCAGTAACAGTACACTGTCTAGTAACTGTAACTTTATATATTAGACACAATCCGTACAAAAATATTTTCTATCAGCTGGATGAGCTTAATTATGTGCCAAAGTGCAAAATAAGTTTTCACTATTTTCTAGCTTCTCAAAACACATACCTGCTGAATTAAACTGCCAAAAAGATTCTCAAGAGTCTTGACAAGGAGAAATTGTCAATGTATGAAATACTGAGTAATGAATCTAGATATTACAGCAGATCAGCAGAGTACAGAGCAATTAAGTTTTCTCTGGAGTTACTGTTACTCTATCTCCCAAAGCATCTAAAGTTTCTGATGTAGACAAAGTTACCACAGCAACACAGCAAAGTTTCTCCTAAAATGCAAATCACAGCACCACTGAAGGTTTGAAAGCAGTCCATATTCAAGGACGTATTCTATTAATTTTTACAAGGCTTGTTATAAATCGCACAATTAAAACTCTGAAGCACTTTAGAGTTAAGGGCATTACAGCAGCCAAATGCTTCATGCACCAACAAGATAATTAACCATTCATGACAGGTCCAGCAACAGGGAGAGACCTTAAGGCCAACCTATGCAACATACAAGTAAAGGTCACATAAACATAAACATCTTATAAATGACTTTTAACTTTACTGATAAACACGTTGACATTAGGCACTTTCTACAGCTATGTTTTTGTGTTGTGGTTTTTTGGGTTTTTTTGTTTTGTTTTGTTTTCTTGTTTTTTTTTTTTCCTCTTGCTTTTCCTGCAGTCATTTTTGTCAGGTTTTTTGTTTGTTTGTTTGTTTTTTCCACCTCTTATTAGATGAAAATCTGATTGAAAAGGTCAGGAAGTTTGGTTTAGTTTACAGTTGGGCCTGGCATAGATTTAAAGAAACTTAACTCTGCTATTAATAGATCCAAATATTCAATGTCCAGAAGTCCTGGACAAAAGTCTACAATGCATGCACAATACGTCCAGGTTGCATTGACCTTTTTCATATTTGCTGTGTGGTCCACTTGCAAACACCATCCAAGTCTGGTAGCATCAATGCAACATGCTTACTGAACACACACAAACCCTGTGTGACATCTGGTGGCTTGATCTTCAGCCTCTGATGTGCCAGATCCTGCACACATGATTCATGGCCATACACCAGTCTACTGGGTATTTCTGGACAAGAACTATGAGAGCCATAATATCATCTCCCTGTATCACACAGCACTTGTGCCTTTTCATTTTCACTTGATTTTGTGGCTGTTTTCACATGCGCTGCATTTCATTTCACCAGAGGTTTGGTTTCTGGATAAAATGGATAAGAACTAGTTTAGAGAAACTACATCTTACATTAAATTTGGAAAAAGAAATTAGATCCCTGTTGGTATCTGCTTTCCTTGCTTTGTAGCTGTCATATAATGATGGAAGGCAAAGGCTTAGCAATGGAAGAGAAATAGCTGCCTAAGACTAATGCCAGCACTTCAGCAAGGAAAAATGATGGTGTTTTTCCATACACATTACAGCTACTTAGACCCTAGCAGTAGAATGTCAATAAAGCTGCAACCTATTTACTTATCTTTCCTTTATGCTTGCCTGGTACAAAATAACCTCTTGAGACGAAACAATACAATCTCAAATCCAGATGATATTATCTAGTATAACATTTTCTTACTACTGTATATGATATTTAGATTTATAGATAATTCAGCAAAATGAAATCATTACCTCTACCAAAGCTACAAATTCAATATTTTTTTTAATAATTAATTCAGTTCAAATACATCATGGAAACAGCACCAGAGATCCAATGTAAAGGCAAAAATAAGTTATTCACTTCCAAGAGAATTCAAAGTCAACGTCTTTCCTGCTAAAACTGCTGGAGTCAAGATATTTCCAGAGTTTATTCAAGTCTTGTCTTCAACTGTGGCACTTTTGAACAGTGGGGATACTCATGGTAAAAGTAAAAATAAATTAAAAAATTGAGCAATGACCCACTGCAACTTACAAAAACTGCAGAGGTGAGACAGTGCTTTAAAGCCATCACAATTGAGAAGAGGAAACAGAAAGAAAGAAGACAACAGTAAAAGTGACAACAAATCTGGACTTACTGAAAGTTCTTTGTCTCAAGCAACTGGTATAGAACTATTAGACCATATTATTCATTTGTTGCCTGAAGACATATTTTCAGATGTTGTTAGTACACTTTCTCAGTGATCATAGAATCATAGAATCACAAGGTTGGAAACGACCTACAAGATCATCTAGTCCAACCATCTCCTCATCACCATTGCCACCACTAGCACTAAACCATATCACGCAGCACATCATCCAGACGCCTCTTGAACACCGCAACTGATGATACCCTGCCACCATTTTTTTGCATGGCAAAATATTCTTCAGCTTTTTACACAGCTTACACCCAGTCAGCTGCACAAGTCTGCATCTGAACATGGTGGTGGTCTCATTCTACCACAATTCTACCACAACCCCTTACAGTACACAAGTGATAGCATTTTCATTATAAATCCCTGATCTTTCTGAGGCTGTTAAAAGAGCCTGTTAAAATGTGGCCTCTTTGTCTTCGCTCTTCCTAACTCCTTGTACATGACTTAGCATTCGATAGAGAAAAAAAAAAAAAAAAAAAAAAAGTAGAACATTGTTACGTGTCTTTACTACCTTACTACAGTTTGTATTTATAACCAAAGAAGAAGCAATATCATCACATAGTACCTAAATGCTGCAATGAGTGCAAGGTGTTATTACCAGAAGTAGTAAGAAAATAAAATAACACGTATACTTTTAAGTAAAAAAGAAAACAGTGTTTTTCTGCTGGCATTTATCTTAGGTCAACTGCAATAATATATAAGCTACAAATGAAAGTACAGAAATTCTTATCCATTTTATAACATATAGTTTAACATCAAGAGATGTTAGAGTCTGAATTTTACAGAATATCATTTTCAAAGCATCTTTTTTGAAATTATTTATCTCAAACCATTCACTGCACACTTTTATTTTTAAACTACTTCCTACTTGTGTTAAGGTAAAAGTACTATCATCCTTCATGGAATATCCTGCACATGGACTGTGGAATTCCTTAGGCCAGAGGGGCTGTATCCACTTGGCTACCAACTGCCCACTTCACTCAGTCTCTCAGGC